GGCAAAAATGGGCAAATCTGTACCTATCTGATATGAATCAGATCCTCTCTCTTTTTAAACAAATTTTCTGTTTTATACCTTAGACTGTAATACAATCTCAAACAGATATAGTAGAATAGATTTATTTATTATGGCTAGGATTCAATTCTGTCTGTCCTTTATATGTTTATAATATGAATGTATATTTTTTAAAGAAGAAGTTTCAAGACTTGCATAAATTTATTCAAAGAATAAGCTTGAGTTTTGTTTTTCTATATGATATAATATAACAATATACTTGGAGGAATCACCGTTTTTCTGTCTACTGATAGTTGCATCTCATCTTTCATTTTCTTTCCTTTTTTTGCATATTTGAAAAACTAAACAACTAAACTTTCTAGCTTCAACTAACACTTCTACTTTTTCTTCTTTTATCATGCTTTCAGAAAAGACAGGCCTGCAGAAAATGGACTATGTGTCATTTTAGTGATAGTGATGATGATGAATTAGAATAAATACATGCTTTCTATACTGAATTATCAACAGTTGACTAATACTGCTACTAATATGTAGACTACAAAAAGCACAAATGCCAGTAACTGTTGTAAACTTGTGTCTTAAATGTAGGCTTGTGTTTTTAAAAGTATGCACTAATTAAGTTTGAGCACAAATGTGAAAAATGTTTTGTATAAATAGAACATATTTGACCATTAGTAAACTGACGTTTTAAATAGACCGTAAATTTGTGACAGTGGCCTTATGAATTAAAATTCCATATAACTGTTCTTAAATAGCATATTTTCCATTTACATTATTTTAATTTTGTATATTTTTAAATGCTCTTAAGATATGAATAAATGTTAATTGTTGTCTTGTAAGCTGTGTTTGTTGATGTCATTAAGTTCTGGATTTTTTTAGGTATTAAAAATACTGTCTGAGACTTCTGTAACAACAATAAATGAATCTATATCAGAAAATATTGATCTGTTCTGTTCAAGTGACACCATGATTCATTAATCTTCTAT